ATAGTTTCTGATGTCCAAGTCTCTTATTACTACATTCATCCATGTTTAATTTAGAGTTAATATTCTGGCAATTAGAGGATCAAAACTAAAGTGCTGCTCAGACATATTCCTAACACATAATTTCATCATTCAGTGTCCAGTGTTTATCCGACCTATTGTATGCCTCTTTGAACATATTGAACATGATGTGATTTTATTGTCATAGAACTTCAGTCAGAATGGGGGAAATTGCCAGATTTGCATTATATGTTTGAGTGTTCTGTGTTTATTTTGATGTGATCTTGCATACTAATTAGCTAATTTGTATAACTAATAATATAGAAAAATTATTTTGAGATCCTTATAATATGTGGGTTGCATTTTTCTTGCACAAGCTTGTTAATTTCTGCTGTTTGTCTTATTTTTATCTACAGTTCAATTTTTACTCAGTCTTGTTGTGTTATGTTTTCCTTTGCTGTTATATTTGTTTATTTTGTGTTGCAGTATTCGCACCACCAGTGGTTCTCACAAATTTGGAGGTAAAACTCCCACTAAAAGAAATGCACCATCTATTGGGCTTTCAGGACATACTGTGAGTTCATAGTGATTTGTTTCGGGTGTCTCTGTGACTAGTGAGGATAGTATATCACCATGGTTATTAAAAGAAATAAAAGGCTTACCATGTTCATGACAATTTAGTTTGAGACAAAGCTAGATTATTTTTGATTTTATCATACATAGTGTCCTAATCAATGTTTTCATGTTATCGATAAAGAGCCATTGCTCAAAACATCTAGCTGTTTTAAATAGTTACTTAGGACAACAATTAACAAATTATATCTAATACATGTATATATCATGTTTTGATCATATCAAGTTTCTTATTGAAGACTAGTTGGGGTGGTAACTGTTAATGATAGGTGTTTACTATTAAAGGCATGTTAGTTAGAACACTATCTATTAATGACAAGTTGGCTAAAGGTGTCAGTTTTGAATTCTGATTGGATGATGTGCAGTAAGACTTGTATTTAATCATTCTTGCAATCTCATTTCAAGGAGCCTAAAGGATCAAAAAACAAAGACAGAAGACATAAGAAAAGGAAGAAACGAAAACAGGGTAATAATTAAGTTACAATAATATTTAATTACTAATAAATTTCTGTTTGGAATGTGAGCTTAGATGTCTCATGTGTGGATTGTTTTTAAAATTTGAGCTAGGGAGTTATAAATAATGTGTAGTTTCTGTTTGTAATGTGAGCTAAGGAGTTGCATTTGATGTTTAGATTGTGTTTGCAGTTTGAGCATACCAATGCATTTGATGCATACCAATGCTCTAACAACATTTGGTGTCAACCACTGTGACATGACAGCTTCACTGACAACATTTGGTATCAACCACTGTGGCTTGACTGCTTCACTGACAACATTTGGTGTCAACCACTGTGGCTTGACTGCTTCACTGACAACATTTGGTGTCAACCACTGTGGCTTGACTGTTTCACTGACAACATTTGGTGTCAACCACTGTGGCTTGACTGTTTCACTGACAACATTTGGTGTCAACCACTGTGGCTTGACTGCTTCACTGACAACATTTGGTGTCAACCACTGTGACTTGACTGCTTCACTGACATCATTTGGTGTCAACCACTGTTACTTGACTGCTTCACTGACAACATTTGGTGTCAACCACTGCGACTTGACTGCACTGACAACATTTGGTGTCAACCACTGTGACTTGACTGTTTCACTGACAACATTTGGTGTCAACCACTGTGACTTGACTGCTTCACTGACAACATTTGGTGTCAACCACTGTGACTTGACTGCTTCACTGACAACATTTGGTGTCAGCCACTGTGACTTGACTGCTTCATTGGCAACATTGGGTGTCAACCACTGCGACTTGACTGCTTCACTAACAACATTTCGTGTCAACCACTGCGACTTGACTGCACTGACAACATTTTGTGTCAACCACTGCGACTTGACTGCTTCACTAACAACATTTGGTGTCAACCACTGCGACTTGACTGTTTCACTAACAACATTTGGTGTCAACCACTGCGACTTGACTGCTTCACTAACAACATTTGGTGTCAACCACTGCGACTTGACTGCTTCACTGACAACATTTTGTGTCACCACT